TGGTATAAAAGTCTCAGTGTATTCCTTCCATGTTCTCTTGATGCTTCCTGGGCCATTCAGACTTTTAGCCACGGTACCCTTCAGGATTGCAGCTTGAGGCTTGAATTTGTTTTTCTGTTCTTTCAGTTTGAGGAATGCTGAAGTGGTTCTTTCCATGTTATTTTCTAACTCCAGCTCTTTGCACGTATCATTATACTAATTTGCTTCGTTTTCTCGAGCTGCCTTTTGAAATCTTGTGTTTCTCTCCCTCACTTCAGCAGTCTTTCTGTTGGCAACATGCAAGCGCCCGCTGACCGAGGCAGGGGCTGCACGTGAGGTACATTGGCTGAGAATCAGACCTGCTGTCTCCTGTCTGGGAGCTGAGAATTCTACCACCAAATGCCTTCTCACTCACTTTCACTGCCATTGAGTCAGAACTGGGCTGTTAGCTGACCCTGCAGGGGGGTTTGGGAGGCTGTAAATTGTACAGGAGGTTGTCCATCTTTCCCTCACAGAGTTGTTGGTGGACTCAGGTTAGCAGCAGCGCACCTACCTACAGACTAGGCCACTAGAGTTTCTTCACAGCAAATCAAGGGCAAATTATTAAGCTTTTTACCCTCCCCAGCAAGGTGACCACTTGGTGGACCTAGTTCTGGTTTGATTCCTGAGGCAGAGACACCTGGTTATGTATAAGTCCCAATGATGGACCCTGTGCTGTGTCCCCAGCCCTTTCTCTTATCTTGTTCCTTCACAATCCTCCTGCTTCTGTATCAGAGTTGTTTTTTTTTTTTAATGTGTTTTTCCCTCAGCTCCCATTCACAGCCCTTTTACCTCTCTATTTCTCTGGGTTTCCGTCTGACTGCCTCTTCTCTCCCCTCTCTGTCCCCCTCCTGGCTCCCTCCGCCTCCTGAGGGTTTGCTCCTGCCTCCAGTGACTGACTCCCTGGAGCCGGATGTTTCCTGCAGTCATCCTCAGGGACTCTCTCAAGTTTTCCAACCTGGTGTCTCAGTTCCACTCCTGGGATCCAGGGGAGCAGTTACAATTTGGTAACATAATTAGTGGTTTGGTTTTGGGAGCTGAGAAGACCCCTCTGCTCCTGAACACCACTCAGCACTCTCCCTCCTCCATAAACACGGGCTGCACCTGGTGTGGGCTTGCTTACATAGAAATAAATAAAACCTCCACCCCTGACCAGTGAGATCACTATGGGGGTGGGTGGGATGACAGAGAAAACAAGTTTACAAGGGACTCAATCTAAAGCAGACTGTTGTGCCCACAGAAAGAAAGGCTTTGTGTGTAACAGAACAGGTAGAGGCCAGAGCTAGTTGGGGTGAGGTTAGGGGTGGGGAGAGAAGGCTCCATGAAGTCAGTGACATTTAACTGAACTTTGAAGGACAGGTTGGGGGAGGATATGAAGGGACATTCTGAGTAGAGGGATCACAGCAAAAGCAAAGGCCTGGAAATCTGGAGACCCTGTGGGGCAGGTACTAGGTGAGCCAGGCAATAGGGTGTACGCAGAGGGCTCCGGAGAGCAGGTGGGGGCCAGAGTCAGGGCACCTCTCCCCACAGGCTTTTACAGAAGTGCTGTGGCAATGCCATTGGGGTTTCTGAGTAAGGAGAGAGCTGCTCACATTCTCAGTTCCATGGAAGGATGGCTGTGGACAGGTCACAGCTGTGGAAAGGCCCCAGCATTCCCTACTCCTCTGTGGGAGGGATTTTTGACTCTAAGCTCTACCTGAGAGCATTCTTTGATGGGAAGAGGAAGTAGCACAAAGTATAACGTGCTTCTGGGAGGAAGGGACGCTGGGCAGGTGTGCAAGGTGTGGGAGAATTTCGCAAGGCCTGACTCCATCTATCCTGCCCAAGCTGGCCCTCGGCTCACAGTGCCCCCCCCCCCGGGAAGGGACTGCCTGGTCTCATGGTCTGGTTGCTGGTCTGTCCTCCATTTGAAGCTCCCCCTGCGGTGGGGCCTATGAGGGGGTCTCTGCGTCAGCCTTAAATCCTCCTGCCTGGCCTGGGGTTTCCGTTGGCTGCTCTGGGACTGCAGCTGCCCTGCCCTGAGGGAGGAGGGCGGTGCCGCTGAGTCATCGCGTGGGCATCTGGGTCTGGAACCACTGGTGAGTCACCTCGAAGGAGGGGGGCTCTTGGGGGCGGGGGAGGGTAGGGGAGCCCAGCCGCCTGACATCTGGAGCGGGGAGGGGAGCTGGGCCCACAGGAAGGGCGGTGCCTGGTGCCCAGTGCCCGTTGGGAAGGGGACAGACAAAGAGCAGTGGAGGGGGGTGGGAGGGGGCAGCTCGAAGCCTGGGCTCCCTGACGGCCCTTCCCATGGGCTGGGCTCTGAATGTTTGCCCTTCTGTGGGTGTGGGGAAGGTGTGTGTGCAGGTGAGGCTGCAGGGGCGGGAGGGCTGCGGCCTGGGCCTCAGCTCTGGCCTCCTGATTTAGGACGCAGTCTAACTTCGTATTTTCAGCTCTGTGTAGGGTGTCTTCATACTCACAGTTTCCCACCTCCAACCCCAGGAAGCTGAAGAAGAGGCTAAGGCTTCTCAGTTCTCCCTTTACACCCTTCTTGGCATTTCCTTTCACTGCAGGCTGATCCCAGCCCCACAGCAACCCCACAACACTCCCCAGCCCCAAATTCCTCCCCAGGTCATATTCAGGGCAACCCAGATCTTCTCTTTTTGCTTCCCAGTCTCCTTTCATATCCCCTCCTACCCAAAAGAGCCATCAAGGATGTTTTAAAGCAATCCTGGTTATCTCATCGTCTCATTAAAAAGGTGCAGGTGGTGACTGTTCAAAGTAACTTTGTTTCCTGAAAACCAACACCCGCTACCACCCCCACCTCCTGCTCCATGTCAACCCTGCCTTCCTGCTCCTGACACTGCTACACCAACCCTCTACTGATTCGACTCAATACACACACACACCCCCCTACTGATTCAACTCAACACCCCCCAATGATTCAACTCAACCCTCCCCACTAATTCAACTCAACAGATACACACCCCCCCTACTGATTCAACTCAACACCCCCCCAATGATTCAACTCAACCCTCCCCACTGATTCAGCTCAACAGATACACCCCCCCCCACTGATTCAACTGAAACCACCTCCCTTTACTGATTGAACTCAACACACACACTGATTCAATTCAACAGATATACACCCCCCCACTGATTCAACTCAAACCACCTCCCTCTACTGATTGAACTCAACACACACACACACACACACACACACACACACACCCCTACCAAGTCTACTCATATGAAATCTGAGGAGCTGAGGCGGTGGAGTTGGAGGGCAGGGCGGTGAGGGCTGCAGCAGTGGGCTGTGACGCTCAGGCATGCCACAGCAATGAGGCTGGCGTGAGGCTCCAGGCTCAGTGCACAGGGGTTGCCTCTCCTCACCCCAGCTCCGACTTCCAGGATTCACCTGGCTGCCCCTCCTACATGACCTCCTGGCTCCCCAGTGTGGCCTGGGCCCTCCTCTAGATTCCTGGAAATGGCGGGAAGTCTCAGGGAAGAGGGATGGGACGTGAGTGGGTGGGATGGCTGGAGGCCAGTTTTGTCATGGTGGCATCAAGTTGGGACAGGTTCGATTTCTTCAAAATGCTGATGTGGTGACTGAGGGGCCTGACATATAAATCCACACTCTGGCTGCTTTGTTTTACTTTCTTTCCTGGGTCTGTCCTTGTCCCCTAGTCTGGTGAGTACATCTGTCCTGCTGAGGCAGGAGCAGCCCTGCGCCCATCCTGCCTTGAGCGATGTGAGAAGAGCTGGAACCGGCAGTGGACAGGCAGCGCCTCTGTTTTCACCTCTTTGTCTTTTAGTCTCCCTGCTTTCCTCACTTTGGCTTCCTTGGTGGGAGCAGCCTGAAACCCCTCTGGGCCTCTTTCCCTCGGGTTCTCTGCAGAATGTGAGACTGAGAGGTTTTATCCCAGGTTTCTCTGTGTGGTCTCAGTTTGGGGGTTCTTCTGTGACTCAGTCTGTGCTTCCCTCTGTGGCCCTCTCAGTTTTGATAGCTCAGTCTTGAGTTGTATTGCTGGAGTCTAGGCCTGGGAGTATGAGGAGTAAGTGTATGTTTTCTGATTTGTTGCTAAGCCTTGAATTCTATCAGGACTAAAGAACAAAAGGCAGGATATTAAGTGCTTGGCCTGAGTGCTGGCCCTGAGCAGCAGCTTTCCCTGCCTCAGGCAGCAGCTTCTCAGGCCTCACCCTGAGTCCTGCTTAACTTCCAAGACTGATCTAAGCAAGCTTAGAGGCAGGGCCTTGGAAAAGATGACCCCAGAGCACTGGACACTTAATTTCTGGGGTTCCCACACCACAGATCATTCTTGGTGGAGGAAATGTTCTGTTGTCCCACCCTCCTCCAACTTGCCTGTCTGCATAGAGATGGAACCCCATAGAAAGGGACACATAATTTGGGAGGAAAATATTGTCCTTTTCTTCTGAGATTCCCTCCAGTCTGAGGGAGGAAATGGCCCTGTCCCAAGGAATCGTCCAGTTAGATGAGCGGGAGACACCCTCTGCTGTTAGGAATTTCTAGTCTGAGCACTTCACCAAAACTCAGACTCCTGTTCTATAGCCATGACTGCGGCCAGGCAGCACTCATCCTCCGAGTTAGCCATGAAGACCCATGGACCGCGATGCCTGGCACAGTGCTCACAGCTGTGTGGGAAGAGCTGCACAGAAAGGAGTGGAAATGAAGTCCTGCTGTCATTTCCTTCTCACAGAGCTTCACAGAGGGCAGCTCTACCCCCAGGGAGGCCCTGGGTGGGATCGGAAGGCACCTGGCACCCTGCCCTTGGTGTGCCTCTGACTTAGTGTGAGGCAGAGCTATGGACCTTCCCTCAGGGGGTCACAGTTGGAGAGGGGAGATGGAACCCCTACTTTACCACTAATAAAGGAGTTTAGGGAGATTGGGAGCCAAGGGAAGGAGTGTGTCCTACAGGTTGCGGGGAGGCCCCAAGATTTTTGATGGTGTTATCATCACCTGATTCTTCTATGGCCCCAGGTACAAGATGTCCTCTCAACTGGAACAAGCACTGGCTATCATGGTCAGCACCTTCCACAAGTACTCAGGCATGGAGGGCGACAAGTTCACACTGTCTAAGAAGGAGATGAAGGAACTTCTGCACAAAGAGCTGCCCAGCTTTTTGGGGGTGAGTGGAACGGACCTGAGGGGGAAGGTCTCTGATGTTTCTGTGTGTGTGAGTCACAGTTACCTCCTCTCTATGCCTCTTCTGGCACCGTTAGGCTGAGGTAGACCCCAGGTGAGGCCAAGTGCTCTGCTTCGTGACCCCGCCAGAGTGGGAGTGGAGGGCCATGTGCTATTAGTGACTGTTCTCTGTAGCCCTCTAGAGAACAAAACTTTATCTGTGTTCTCAAAGTCCTTCTGAGAAATCTCCTCTTTGTGGAGCTGAGCAAGTCAAGATCCAGAATTATCTGACCTAGGATCTTACAGGTTAACACTTCTCCCCCTGCCCCCTGTGACCCCTGCATTTGTGTGCCAAACTCAGGTGTCCAGGAAGAGAGCAGGCCAGCTAAGATGTGCACACAAGGAACGCTTTGCAGAGAGATGGAATCAACTCACAGTTTTCCCCTTGCCAAAGCAGTTAAAAAATAATCCCCAAACCAGGGCTCAGGTCTTGGACATAGGAGACGTGTATGTCTTTACTTCTCCCCACTTTTTTGGATCAGTGTTCTGGAATTAGGCTTCATTTTCACCAGTATTAAGAAGAGTTTGCTTGTTGATGCCTGCCACACTATGGATGAAATGTTAGGCGGAGCAAAATAAGTTGATTGCAGAAGAACACACGCTGGAAAATCTCACGTATCTGAATTAAGCAAATATATAGAATCCCAAGATTATGAATTGGAAGCAGGAGTGGCATCCACTTCTCTAATAGCTTGCCTCTGGAAACCCTATGAACCTGGAGAGAGGATAAAGTCACACAACTGTTGAGGACTTTCGTTCATAGGGTCGCTATGAGTCGCCTACAACTTGATGGCAATTAACAACAACAACATCAACATAGAGAGTGATCAGCTGGCTTAGTGGAGAGAAAGTGATGCTTCCAAGTCAAAGATGGGTGACTTCTAACCTGCGGCCCTCAGGCCTGTTTTTCATTGTTTTTGGTGAAACAGTCCTCTAGATGGTATAGCCCTGGTGTGTCCACTTGCTGTACAGAGGTAACTCGTGGTTGCTGTGCAGCTGAACACTGTGATGCTGATGTGTCACATGCCTTAAAGGTTATCCATAGTGGACAGTGTTTGGTGGCGGTCTCCTGTTGAAACAACCTTGGAAGCAGGAGTGGCATCCACTTCCATAATATCTTGCCTCCAGAAACCCTATGAACCTGGAGAAAGGATGAAAGTCACACAAGTGTTGAGGATTTGCATTCACAGGGTCGCTATGAGTCGCCTATGACTTGACAGCACTTAACAACAACAACAAGATTATGAAAGGAGAGCTTTGGCAGGAGATCTGCCTTGGGTTCAGCATCAGAATAACCGCCTCCCGCTTCCCGCTGCCCTCCATCTGCATCTAGGTCTTGTGAGGGACTGGTTTGAGAGCCTGGCCCAGTGTCTCTGCTGGAATGTTTGGAAGAATACAACCCACTTTACAGAGGAGGATGAGCAAGGGGAGGTGGAGGAGGAGGAAGAGAAAGGGAAAGATATGCAGGAGGAGGAGGGTGGGGCAGGGTGAGCACCCAGCCAGTCTATATCTGGGTGTGTATTCTAGACTGCCGTACACAGCCCCAGATCATGTCCTTCCCTTCTGTGGCCAAAGGAAGAATCACACTTGCCTTTTGTCAGTGAGATCACCTACTTATAAATGTGACTTATTTTTTTGCATTTCTTTTTTTAAAATTTTTTTAATTTTTATTGTATTATTTTTACATGTACTGTCAAATCAGATCTGACTGGTACAGGAGGAGATTGCCCCCTCCTTCTCCAGCAGAGCATCTGGTGGATTTGAACCACATACTTCTGGGATTGCAGTGCAGTGTCTTGCCACTAGGCCACCAGAGCTCCCTTATTATTTTGCATTTCTAAACAAGCAAAGTGAGGCAAATGTACAGGTGTCACTCTCATCACACACACACACACACACACACACACACACACACACACACCACTTGTGCCTGAGCTGTGACCCTGGGTCAGAGGCGTGTGTTGGTACCCATGTCACACACCCATCCTTAAATGTTTCTAAGTCCTGTGTTAGTATACTGACCTATGATATGAAAATAAAAGTCTCATGGCCAAATGTAAAAAAAACAAAAAGAAGCTCTGATGGCTTAGTGATAAGAAATTGCACAAGAGTCCAGAATTAAGGTTGCATAGTGGGGTGCGAGGGGCGTTGGGAGATTGTATACCAAAGAAGGAATTTTTCTTTTACTTTTCAAAGTAAAAAGGAGTGAACTGGGGTTGGGGGGGGGGAGGGCTGGCCAGGGAGAAAAGTGCAACAATGAATGAAAATCCAAAATCTCTGTAAATGTCCATTAAAATTAATAAAATAAAATTTTTAAAAAAAGAAAAAGAAATTGCACTGCCAACCCAAAGATGTGTGGTTTGAACCTACCAGCTGTTCTATGGGAGAAAGATGGAAAGTCTCTGCCTATATGATTTCCTGCCTCTGAAAACTTGCTGGCGGGTCAATTCTGATTACTTGATGGTATACCATCACAGCAGCTAGATTGTTCCTCGCTATCAGTGGTAAAAGGAAAAGAGAAGGGGGAAATTCTTGTTTAGGAAGCATTGAGTTTATGTTCTTGTTGTTATGTGCTGCCATTGAGTTGCTTGAGACTCATCGCAACCCTATATACAAGAGCCCTAAATCCTGCTCTGTCCTGTGCCAGCCTCACTGTCTCCAATACACCTACTCCCATTACTCCAATCATTGAATCGATCCATCTCATTAAGGGTCTTCCTCTCTTGTGCTGTCCCCTCCACCCTCCCAAGCATGATGTCCCTCTCCAAGGACCTGACCCTCCTTACATGTCCAAAGTATGTCAGACTAAACTTCAGAATCCTTGCCTCCAAGGAGCAGCCTGGCTTCACCCTCTCCAGGATGAACCTGTTTATTCTCCTAGCAGTCCATGGTACATTGAATACTCTTCTCCAACACTATGGCTCAAAATCATCACTTCTCCTTCTATCATCCCTAGTCATCGTCCCGATTTCTGATACATAACAAGTAGTTGCAAAGACCATGGCCTGGATCAGGTGCACCTTAGTTCTTCAGTACTCTGGAGAGGTCCCTGACAGCTTACTTTCCAATGCAATTCATCTCTTGATTTCCTGGCTGCTATTACCAAGAGTGTTGATTGTGTAACCAAGCAAACGAAAATTGCTAACAATCTCAGTGTCTTCATCATCTGTAATGATGCTGCCAATTGTCCCAGTGGTGAGAATATTTGTTTTCTTGATGTTGAGCTTCAATCCATAGGAAGAATATTTTTGGAAAAAGATAGTATAATAATGATAGTACAACATAAAAATGTAATCAGCATTATTGAATTGGAAATATGGAGGTTGTGTCAGAGAATATTTTGGTGCATATATCTTCACCATAAACACACACACATGAATCTGCCTTTTTAAGGTTCATCCTGCTGGTGGTGGGGGACAGCCGTGACCCCAGGAACTTTAATCTCCTCATCAGCAAATGGAAGTAATGCTCCCCACTCTGTGGCCTTGTGTGGTAACTGGAGCTGACACTGTCCTTGGAGAAGTCCCTTAAGTTCTGCCGACTCCCAACTGGGCAAGGTTGGAGATTCAGCACTGAATGGCTACATGGCCTTACTCACTGGATCCTGTTAGTGTCGGCTGGTGGCTTCCTGTCCACCACTTACCCATTTATCAATTGGAGAGTGAGGCTTGGGGAGTGACCTGTGTGGATGTGGTGTCTGCCTATGTGTTTGGTGTGGAGGGAGGATGAAGGCTGGTTTGTGAGTGACCGTATTCTTTCTTGCTTCAGGATCAGGTGGACGAGGAAGGACTGAAGAAGTTGATGAGCAACCTTGACGAGAACAGTGACCAGCAGGTGGACTTCCAGGAGTACGCGGTCTTTCTGGCCCTCATGACTATGATGTGCAATGAGTTCTTTGAGGGCTATTCAGGGAGACCCTGAACCAGAGTGCTGGACTCCCTGCCCAGGAGTCTTTCGGTCCCAAGAGGACTCGCTTGCCTTTTAGTTTTGTACTCAATAAACTTTCCTTTTGAAGTTAATGCTTTCATTGCCGAGTGGTGTTGTGGAATCTCACTGGCTCAGTGGAATGCTGGAAACTGAGAGCCCCCTAGATCCCATCTCCTGCTTAACCCCGGCTCTCCTGGAAATCTTCCAAGGCCTTCGGTTCCAGACTTTAGGCTCTCAGATGAAAGGAACTTTTTAAAAATTCAGAATAATTGCCAACATTTCACTTAAAAAAATAAAAAAATGAAAATAGCCTATGTTGTTGTTAGGTGCCGTTGAGTCGATCACAACTCAGAGTGACCCTCTGAACAAAAGATCTGAACCCTATTCTGTCCTGTGCCATCCTCACACTTCCAGACACACAGCAGCCCATTGCATCAGTCACCATGTCAATCCACCTGGTTGAGGGTCTTCTTCTTCACCGACCCTCCACCCTTCTCAGCATCATGTCCTTCTCCAAGGAATAGCACCTCCTAACAACATACCAAAGTATGTGAGGTGAAGCTTCTATCATTCTTGCCTCCAAAGAGCACTCCAGCTGCACCTTCTCCAAGACATACCTGTTTGTTCACTCGGACGTCCATGGGATGTTCAGTGCTCTTCTCCAACACCACAGTTCAAAGGTGTCAGTTCTTTTTCTGTCATCCTTTTTCACTGCCCAGCTCTCAGATGTATAGAAAGAGATCAGAAAGACTAAGACCTGAATCAGATGTATTTTCATCCTCAAACTGACATCACTACTCCTCAATAATTTGGAGAGGTCCGTAACGGCAGGTTTTCCCAGCACAATGTGTCTTCTTATTTCTTGACTCCTGGTACCAAGGGTGTTAATTATGACAGATCCAAGAAAGATGAAGCTGTTGACAATTTTAGTCTCCTCTCCAGCCATCATGATGTTACCTATTGGCCCAGTGGTAAAAATTTTTTATCTTTTTGACATTGAGATGCAGTTCATACTGAAGGCTACATTCCTTGATCTTCTGCTACAAGTGCTTTAAGTCCTCCTCACTTTCAGCAAGCAAAGTTGTGTTATCTGCATAACACAGGTTATTGATGAGTCTCCCTCTAATCCTGATGCCACATTCCTCTTTACAGAGCCCAGATTCTTGAATAATTTGCTTAACATACAGATTAAATACGTATGGAGAGAGAATATGACCCTCACACATCCCTTTAATTTTAAACCATGCAGTGTGGCCCTGCTTTGTTCACACAACAGCCTCCTGGTCCAGGTATAGATTCCGCATGAGCACAATTTAGTGCTCTGAGACACTCATTCTTAATGTCGGCCACAACTTGCTGTGATCCACACAGTCAAATGCCTGTACCAACACCAAAACCAGCACACCCAAGCTCAATGCAGTTGAATAATTCAATTCCATGGTGATCTTCCGTTGAGTTTCCAAGGCTGACGTCATAACCAGAGCAGATCACCTCACTGTTCTCGCTGGTATTTGCTGACTTATCAATCAGTAGCCTGTCTCTTAGCTCTTGTCCACCGGGGCTGGGCCAGGGTTTTGTCTCCACCAGCTCCTCTGTGAGAGAAAGATGTAGGGTTTCCATGAGTCAGCCTTGCCTCACTGGCAATGTCTTCAGTATTGTTATTTTTTTTATTTTTAATATCAACATTATAATTGCCTAAAAAGAGAAAACTGCAATTCCAATTATGAAGAAAAGACAGATCTTGACATTAGACACTGATTTGTGCCAGGATCTGCTTAAGAGACGTAAGAGAATCAATCTTGCAAGCCTATGTTATAAGAATTTAAGTTTTCGAGCCACAGGCAGTGTACCTTCTTATTTTTTTCATAGCTGTATTTCTTTTAATATCTGCTTTCAGGTTCACTAGCTCTAGTTTGAGTTCATTACTCTCTTGTTGGTTTTTTATAAAAGCTACAAAGAATCAATTCATATCCCCATTCTACCATTTTCCATAAAACTGTAACCTAGGGTTGTAGAAGGCAGTGTAACAAATGCCTTGCCATCTCTAGCAGCTGTGCAGCCTGGGAAGGCTAGGTGCTCATATTTTACTGCCTTCTTTCTTCTATTCAGTCAATTTCACATTTTCGGTTCTTTTATATGGATATATCCTTTTAATTACCAAATTAACTACTATTTACGGATGTATTAAATGATAAGTTACAATGAACCTACTTACAGTGGTTTAAAGGAATTTTGTTTAAATGCCTCATATAACAAGACATCTGAGGTAATCCTAGCATTAAGGACAAAAGTTTTTTGTTTAAAAAAGCACTAGCCCAAACCTCCTAAAAACCCAGAAACAACAAATGTGAATGTACGTGTGGAGAAACTGGAACCTTTCATATACTGTTGGTGGTGGAATGTTAAATGGTATAACACTGAGAAAAATGGTACCGTACTTCCTTAAAAAGTGGGAATTAGGAAAACCATATGATCCAGAAACCTTTCATTAAAAATATAACTAAGAGCCACCCAAGAAGATATATGCACACCCATGTTTATTGCAGCTTTGTTCACAATAGCAGAGTTGGAAACTACCCAAGTCTCCATCAACAAATGAATGGATAAAGAAGGTCTGGTATATTCAGACAATAGAATACTACACAGCACTGAAAAACAAGGAACTAATGAAATATTATACAAAATGGGTGACCATGGAAGACATTATGCTGAGTGAAATATCTCAGTCACTAAAAGGACAAATATTGCATAGAGCCACTGTTATAAAATGGGACTGACGTGGGGGTTGAGGGGAGACTGAGAAAGAGGGGATAAATAGACTGCATTGAAACAGATGAAGGAGAAAACTGTTTAAAAGGGATATATGATTAAGTATTATTGTCATGACAGGAGTCCAGAATTAAGGCTGCATAGTGGAGTGGACTTGGGGAGAGAGATTGTATAACAATGAAAGAATTTTACTTTTCAAAGAGAAGAACAAATTGGGTGGGAGGGGCTCGGCAGGGAGAAAAGTGCAACAATGAATGACTGGAAATCCAAAGTCTCTGTAAATTTTCATTAAAATTAATAAAGAAAGGGAAAAAAGAAATATAGCTTAGAGAAATGAACCATGACATGAATAACATGGACTTAGAGAAATATGAGCCGAAACCATGAATATGCATATTCATGTTCACCACATCATTCTTCACAATAGCAAAAAGATGGAAAAAGTCTAAAAGTCTATCAATGGATGAATGGATAAATAGATGGTAGTTCAGGCCTTTTGTTCATAGGGTCACTGAGTCGTGCTTGACTCGAAGGCAATCAACAACAATAACAACAACATACACATATTGTTAAAGAAACAGTGATGTGTTTCAGAAACAACTCATAGCTTGTATTCGTCTAGAGGACATTATGCTCAGTGAACTGTGTCAATTACAAAATGACAAGTAGTGTACAAGGCCACTACTGTAAAAATTCAGAAAAGCTGCATACACAGAAAGACCTCCTCCCTGAATTTTACCAGGAGTGGGATGGAATGAGATGACAGATCACATACTTGAATTTGAGAAAAAGAATATACAATAAGGGGGAGATCA